CCTGCACCCCTCCCACGGCCCAGCCTCACCCCCGGCCTCTCTCCGGGGAGAGAGACGGGGGAAATCAGCTCCAGACTTCCCCCTGGTTGGCCAGAGCACAAGGGACGGAGGCTGGGGCAGCTTGCTGCCTGTGCTTTTCCCTGGCCAGCCAGAGCATGGAGGGAGGTTGGCAGCACGTCACTGCTGCCTATCCCATACCAGCCAGAATCAGCCCCATGGCGGACCATGAAGGACAGTGGGGGAGGGAAGATGGGTTTGCACTCTTCACACCCCTCCTGCATACAGGCCTGCATTAATAACTCTTCACTCGTGGGTTTCACTTCTGTCTTTGTCCGGGAAGCACCAGTGAGGGTGATGAAAAGTATCTTGAAAATTCCATACAAAAACTGCTTATTCATTACTGGTGAATCCTTAGTTTTAACTAGGATTTGAGAAATTGCAGTTCCTTCTAGGAAGACTATATAATTTAAGCCCTTACTATAATACTAGTACCAGACAGGCACACTGTCCTAACAGGAGACGACTGCCCCAACGTTAATGAAGTTAAGAAAAATGTACTCCACGAGAGAGGTAAACTTCCAGCTCTCCCTTCTCCACTACTTGCTCAAGATGGAGACTAATACCGAGAATATTTCCATATGGTTTTGGAAAGTTACCACACTAAATATCGATGGACAAATGTTACTGAGATGAATGTAGGGACTCACTTCACTCTTCCAATACAACAGTGTGGGGAAAACATATGGTCAAACAAACAGTAGCCTAGAATCCTTGTCCATTGCACTCTATTCCCTCCCCTTTTGTAGTTTGCCCTGTGCATTCATATTTGGGTGCCTATTTACAGAGACTAGCTGCTCTTTCATTGAAACTTACTTAAAAAAAAAAATCAGCCCTCCCTGACCCAAAACAGAACGACTTACCTGCCAACAGCCTGAAATGTAATCATAAAAACCCACCCAGAGAAATAAATAGTACAGCAACCCTCTGAGAATTGTGGAACAATTATTCCCCTTGAAAATAATCCACATTCCAAGTATCTCCATAACAGTATTACACTAGACTGTGCCACCATAGAGGAGTTCACTACTGTTTACACTGGTGTGAGATCAATATCAGTCCCTATATGTACAATGAAGTTTATTATGGGCTTTTATAGACTACCTTTTAAGTTAACAGAACATACATTGCTCAAGGATATAAAAAAGAAACTCCGTGAACCATGCAAGTTACATTAATGTAAACGGTGTTCACATGTTATGTCAGTAGGAGAGGCTCTTCCCTTGGCATAGCATGTCTTCACCAGATGTGGTGCAGCTGCATTCATGTAGCATGGTAACATAGACTAGCCCTAAAAGTTCATCCTAGCTGAATGAACTTTAAACACCCATCTAGTTGAGTCCCCACACATGCACTCCCATCTGTATCAAGATTCAGTGGACATAGAATCTATTGTTGAAGCTTAATAAAGAAAGCAAGGTTCAAATACAATCTAGTAAAATCACCATTCCCTTGTGGAAGCAACAGAATGATATATATTGCATGTATAAGGTTTCATGATTGACCTATTCAAGACTTAGTAAGACACAATTTCTCAGTTAACAGGATTCATTCCATAAAGACTCGTGTCCTACTTTTAATTTTACATACTCTACAACATAAGTCTCAAGAT